ATTTCTTTCCAGATGCACAGATATTTAATCATATTAAAGTTTAGCCTTGCTGGTTTAAGAGCCATCTATTCTTTTATAATAGCTAGGATGGCCTCTACTGTAATCTACTTGAGCACTATTTTAGAGTTTAAATTCTCAGGTTTTAATTTTTATTTAAAATTTTGTGGGTGATATCTCACAAGATTTAAAATTAAAATATTAACAATAACAGCAGCCAAAATTTGAATGTGTTTTATATTTCAAGCACCAAGTAGAACACTCCTAGCCCAGCATGTACAATGATTCTGAGACATAAAATAACCCACAGCATTCTAAGTTGGAGTGACTATAGGAGAGTGATGGAGATGAAACCAGTGAGGTAGCCAGAAGGCCAGTCATAAAAAATAAAAATAAATAAAAGAATAAAAATAAAAATAAAAACAAGAAAGGGGGATAAACATCTGAAGCTTTTTAAGCAAAGGAATAAGTTGACTAAATTTGTTTTTGAGAATTATCCATCTGGTTGTTGTGTGGGAAAAGATTAAAGATGGGGCATTCTAAAAAATAGGAAATGATTTAAGAAGTTATTCCCATAAACTTTTTCCCATAAGGCTAAATAAAGCATGAAATAAGGCAAGACAGTGGGGATAGTGAGAAGGGAACACAAAAACAATAATTGTAAGCAATTCCAATCCACATAATTTAGTGACAAATTTGGAATATGGAGAGAGAACAGGACTTCTGTAGTCCCAGCTTGGGCATGCAAAAGTGTCGTTACATAGGAGAATGTAAAGAAAATACAAATGAATGATCAGAGGCTAAGATAAAAAGTGGTTCTAAACATGGTGACTTTGGCGAGTTGCATGGATTGAAATATCTAAGTAGAATATGTGGTATGTTGTTGGACAGTATCCGGAGGTTGAGCGACAGATCCAAGTGGCAGAGAGTTGGGAGCCATCTGTATATGGATGGTTCTATGAGCCATCCATTTAGATGAAATTGAAGCAAAATTAGAAGATGACCATGACTGAAAAATGACACCCCAAAATCTAATACCCAAATATAGAATATGAGAATCCAGTTATGATTACTAAGGAAGGGATGGGATAGGGGAAAACAGACATAAAGAATGAATATGTCTCAGCTAGAAAGAAGAAGGAATTCTTAGCTGACGGGAACATCCAGCAGTGGTGGATGCTACAAGGAGATCAAAATCAGGGTTGATCAAAATGAATGTCATATGTGGCAGCTGGAAAGCCAGTAGTAACCTCAGGAAGTATAGATTCAGCATAGTGATGGGGTACAAATCATGTATTAAGGAGTAATTTGGAATTAAAAAAAAAATGGAGACATGCCTGTTTTTCCAGGTGTGAATACTTTACTACCTGTAAAAATGGATGTTTTAGTACCTGAACCTTCAATTTCAAGTACCACCTTTACTCCCGTCACCTCAATTCTCTCAGCCACAATCTGGACTTTGTCATTGTCCATAACTACTATGTCTCCAAATTCTTAAAAACAGAGCCACCATTCTGCTATAACTTGTTATTATTCCACCTCTTCCATTCCTTTATTTTCACTGAATAATAACAATATCTAATAATTGTTTATTAAGTAATTACTGTGTACCCACACTGAACAAAATGCTTAGTGCATAGATTATTTCATTTAATCTTCAAAACTCTATGAGGCCATATCTCTCAGACTAGAGTTAGTCACAGAAAACAAAAAGCATTCTATATCAGCAGAAAAGGATTCAATACAAGATATTAGATGCCTACAAAATCTTAAAAAGTACTCACAGAGTGAGATCTAGTCCAGAACCACACTGCAAAACTAGCTCGTGTGATAGCTGCTCCCTCTACCACAATCATGACAATGATAATTAAGATTCTGAAATACACCACTCTCAAGTCAGAGACCAAGAGTTGCCACTTATGCAACTGTAGTGTGAAGTCATGCCACATCTGGTAGAGCCACACCAACAAATAAATCGGAAGACAGAAGCACTGCTTTGCAGCTCTCACAAACCTAGAGACAGGACCCCAAAACATCACTGCAAACAATTTCCATTGTCATGTTGTCCAGTAGAAAAAAGCAGGAAGATCCACCATCCTCACTTTAGATTTTCAGTGAAACCAGCTGGAGAAACAGAATCACATCTAGGACCGCAGCTGCAGGGGACTCTGGAAAATGTAGGGTGTTTTTTCAGTTGTTTCGATATTATTTTCTAGCTTTACAGCCTCTCTAGTATAAAGAGGCTCACCATGGATAGTGAGTGTCTACTCACCATATCCATTGTATTTTTCTTACCTGAACTTTCTATTCATCTACCCCCTTCTTTTTTAAAATCTTAATTTGAATCGGTCCCCTTAATTCTTTATTTTCTCCTAATTTCCAGTTTCCTTCAGGCGTTATTTCCTTTCCTGCCCAACCTAGACTTGTGTGGCCATCTTTTTAATCACCCCTACTTCCAATCAGCTCTGTAGCCCTTTAGCTTTCCAGCATGTTCATGCTGCAACACCACCAACCCACGTCAACCCCACCATCCCTCTCTTGTAGCCAGACGAGCACTATAGGAAACAGTCATTTAAATGGGGGTCTTGGCACCACTACAAGTTCATGGTCTTCACCTTACAAATTCTTTGCATCTCCTACAACTCTCTCTCTCCTATTCACCTATGTTGCTTTTTCAAATTTTCCACATAACATCTTTTGATTAACAGAGGAAATGGGGGCCATCAAGAACAAGTACCCTCCACTTAACTCTCCTCCTGTTTTCCCTCATCCTATTAGTTCTACGTCATACCTTTTTTAAAACAGTCCCCATTTCTTAACTAAATTTCTGAAACAGGCTACGTGGTCATCATGCCACCATTCTCAAGCCCTTCCAATTTATTCACTACAACGCCTACATGAGGACTTTACCAAAATGAAAAGTTGATCGTGTCATGATCCTGATGATGTAATGGGCTGTTAAAATACTGTAAGTGGGGAAAAGGCTATGTATAAGTTAGCATACAGGGTCATCTACTTCTTAACATCACCGTGGCCCACTCTTACATGTACCCTACACTCTCACCAATGCCACCCAAACACCATTCTCTTTCTCCCTAACACCTTTTCACATACTGTTTCCTTGAATTTTCATCCTTCCTTCCTTTCCCCAGGTTAACTGCTATTCATTCTTAAAGCACAGTTCAAAAGTCACTTCCTCCAGGAAGCATTTCTCAGACATTCCTAGTGACTAATCTACTTTTGCCTTTTTTTGTGTTTACCTCATGCTATAATAAAAAATTTAGTTTTCTTGTTGGCTTCCTCTGGTGAGCCTCTTTTGAAGGCAGGGACTCTTTTTCAATATTATATCACCGGTGCCAGGCAGATAATAGGCTCTAAATATTTTGAGAATGTATTCTAACCCTCCCATCTTACAGAT